CCCTTCGCTGCAGCTCCCCCCCCGTCACAGGCAGCCCCCCCAGCTCTCTGCACCCCTCATTGCCCTGCAGTCCCCCCATCACCCCACACCCCCTGTGTGCCCCCCCAGCCCTGCCCCAGGACCCCAGGAGGAGGAGGATGGAGATGGGATGGGATGGGATGAGATGGAGAAGATAAGGGTGAGGATGGGAATGAAGATGAGGATAGGGCTGGGATGGGGGTGAGGAAGAAGATGGGGGTAGGATGGGGATGGGGATGAGGGTAATTAACTCAGCTGCTCTAATTTGGGGTTAAATTAATGCTAATAAAATCGATAAATCCCTGTGGCCCCGCCACAGCATTCCTGGGATTTTTGGGATCACTCCTGGCAGGCCCTGGCACAAGGAGCAGTGTGGGGATGGTGAGGAGGAAGGGCCCCCTGCAAAGCCAGGGCTGGGGGTGGTCAGCCCATGTGAGGGGGGTGAGGAGCATATTTGCATTCCTAGATTGGCATGGGTGGGAAAATTCGGGAATAAAGGGAAAAGCAGGAATATTGTTTTGGGAGAAGCCGACCCAGATTCACTGAAAACAGTGAAATTCTTTAAAAATCCTCCCCGAATCCCAACGCTGAACCTGGGTGGCTCCGTGGTGGCCTGGAGGGAGGAGGAAGGGGGGGCTCAATCCCCTCGGTGTCCCCGGCTGGGCTGGGGGTCCCTGGGGAAGCTCCAGGCCTGACCCCAAGGACAGAGGGGATGTGATGGTGGCATGAGGGTGGTGGCACAAGGGTGGCCCCGGGGCTGCTGGTGGCACTGTCCCCCCAGCACTGCCGCAAGGGATGGGTGGAGGTGGCACTTGAGGGAACCGCTGGCACCGGGGGGCTCCCCGTGTCCCCACACAGCTGAGGGTCCCTGTGTCCCCACCACCAGCACCCAGGACACCCCGTGTCCTGACGGTGCCACCCAGGTGTCCCCACAGACTGGGGGAGTCCCAGTGTCCCCTCACAGTGGGGGTCTCAGTGTCCCCCCCCCAGCCAGTGCCAGCCTCCGTCCCCCCCATCCCTCCTTGCGTTGGCAGCGGCCCCGTCGGCTGATTCATCCCGGTTTACCCTCCCTCCCTCCCTCCATCCAATCCAAATTCCAGCCGGGAACCCCACAAACTGGGAGGGGAGACACCCCACACTCCCCCAGCCCCAGTCGGGAGGTCCCACAGTGGGTGACACCGGGTGCCCACCGACACTGGGCTGTGGAGGGTTCCCGGTGTCCCCAACCAGGAGGTGCAGCCCCACCAGT